GCTCTCTACAGGTTCAACCTCGCCGTGCTACAAGTTGCTGCAGCTTTGGGCTTCTGCAGGTCATTGAGTAAAAACAGAAACAAAATGAACACACAAAATGCACGGCTTGCTCTCAGGGCAGGATTCAACACTGTTTACATAGCACCTGTTATGGTGTGGAAATGTTCACAACCCTAGGACACAGGTATTCATTTTGGCTACATCTTATGCAGTGATTAACAACCTTAACAGAACTCACTAGAAGTCAAGAAATCTAAGAACACACAGACAAGATCTTTCCCCCTGCTTCTTGACCTTTCCACTGCCTTGCACTGTACAAATACCCATGATATAGATTTTCTTCCTCTAGTCTTTTTTCTTCTTTTTTTACAGTTAGATATACACAAAAGATAACAAATATTTTTTTTCGTAATATTGAGCTAATTGTAATGAAACACCTCAGTATATGGCATTTCATTTAATTCAAGCAATTCATTAGAACAAAACTGGAAGTGCATGGCATTAAGATGGGAATCTTAACTTCGAATGGTGTGTTCAGACCGAACGCATAATCTGATTAAAATGTTAAGTTGAAAAAGTTTTAACTTGAGTGTAAAATTCATGTGATGCTGTCTATCGTGAGAGCCTATCAGTGTTGTGATTCTCCTGACGTCACAGAGAATCACAAGTTGATTATTGTCAGTCTGTGGGCAGTTGGGAGTTCTAAGATTCAACGTATTTACTGTGCAGAGACAGAACTAAACCATAGGACAACAAGGTAAGTTATTAACATATGTATTTGTTACTTGATACAAGCTATTGGTTGTACTAAACTAATACTCCCATTGGCTGTTAGGGAGATTATTTGCAGGTTGTAAAACACTCCAGTGGCCGTAATCGTGCAGGTAACAGCTGGTAAAATTTTGTTTTGTTTTCAGTCTGAACACACCATTAGGGTTCGGAAGTTTTGCAAAACTGGGGTGAAGTGTAAGTTTGTCTGTTTGTGTGTTTGCATGTACTGTATGCGTGGCCAAGATACTCCATTTCCATCTCTTCATTTCATCAATAAACCAATTCTTTCTGTACATACATGTATGAGGCAGAAACAGTTATGATAAAACAGAAAATCCAAAAAACAAACACTGAACATTTAAAATCACTAAGTGAAAACAGAGGGAAATTCACATCCCAAGAAACCACTGGATCAGACTTACATCACATCACTTCTTGATTTTTTCACTTTACACTTTTGTCTTTTTTGTCTTTAACTGGAACAACTGCACCGTGCACTCCTTCAATCCTCGCTTGATATTTAGTTGTTGTATTTCACCTGAAACCCCCTCTGATAAGCAGTGTCTCTTTGATATCAACAGACTGGATGTCAAAGGAAAATTGCATAATTCTAAGATTTGTGAGTTTGACAGTTTTCTTTTTGTTGTTGTTTTTGTTGTTGTTGTTGTTTCACAGGAGGCTTTAAGGGCGGACGTGCAGCATCTCTAGAGTCTGTCAGTTCGTTCATGGTTCACCAGTGTGGGAGCGAAGGTAAAGCTCTCAAGAGGAAGTCTTCTTCTGTAAACACAGGGTTTGTATTTTACGTTGTGCTGATGGCAGGTTTGGCAAAAAGGATGTTGTGTGTCTGATCTTCTCTTGCACTACATAGTTCAGACCTGGAAAGATAAAGGGGCGAGATAAGTATGTCTGAGTAATTGTAAGTAAAAAAGAAAGTATTTATTTTAATGTTAAGGTAGTGGTCGGCTTTTTATGGTGAAAATTTGGCGATAGCTTACATTTCTACTCAATAAACAGTAGATAAAGACTTTTTTATGATCGGGACATCATTTTAAAACTTAGCTTGGATGTAAAACATTCTATCACATGCTGAACAAATCTTGATAAATGAGAATGACCCAGGAAACGAGGACTAACAAACAAACAAACTTTCAGCAAATGGGTACTTTCAGCTACTTTTTTTAGCATCATTGGGAAAAATTATGAAGCAATGCACAGTTGACGTGGTTTAGTGAAGAGACGCAGCAGCATGCAATTACTTTGAGAGAATCTTTACCATGTGGATTCAGAGGATTAGAGCATGGACTCTGAATATGGTTTATAACAGCATCTCAGTGTTTTTTTTAGGTCTGTTCTAATCTTCTAAGCAGTATATATATAAAATTCACAAACCTAGAAAGCATGATGGTATATGAACGTTTCCACCAATAGTTAAGAAGTGATCTTGCACACTTCTTCTATATTTTTATATTTTGGAAAGAAAGATCTGATCTGATTTTAGGTGTCAGAATCAGTATTGGGGGAGAAAAAGATTTAAATAAGACAACATAAAATAATCCTTTATTATCCCACAATGGGGAAATTTAGTTTGTATATGCTCACCTTTGCTCAAATACCACATGATATACACCTGTACACACTCACACCTGCTACACACCTGCTCTGCTCCTTCCCGGGCCTGACCCTCTCAGCCGGGTACCCAGCTTTGAGAGGTCTGCTTGGTGTTCGTGAAGTTGCCGACTCCGTTCATGTTGGCCAGAGAGTCAAAGTTAAAGTCCAGGCCATCTGCGTCCATCAGCTCGCTCCTGATGATGGAGTCCATATCACACTCCAGGCTGCTGTTGAACATGTCCAGGTCCAGATCTGTGGGGAAACGGTCCTGGCAGATCCCTCCACTGCTGCTAACGGTTCCATTAAGAAAAATCGAGGTGTCAATCTGCATGGAAGAGGAACCATTTCCCCCCAAAGGTGAGAGCAGGAGCTGCTGCTTGGCATTAGCCAGAACGTTAGCCTCGTTGGCTAGGTTCAGGCCCCCGTTTAAAGACCTCAGGGAGCTCTGGTTGTGGTTGTTACTTTGCAACATCTCCCCTTGGCTGCCCTGAAGTCCTCCAGTGGTCCCAAAGGTCATTACGGGATCATTACGGAGCATGAGGCCACGTCGAGAGTTCTGGGAAATGACGGCGGCAGCGCTGGCCTGTGACATGAGTGGGTCAGACTGGGTCATCATGACATCGCTGTGGCTGTGGCTGTCAGAATTGAGCAGGTCTTGTAGTGTCTGACTGCCAAAGCGAGACAGGCTGATGCTGGAGAAGGAGGTCTGCTTGTTCTCCTGGATGGTCTGCATGGGGGACGGACGCAAAGAGGATCCCGTCGTGTGGGGGCCAAAGATGGAGTTACTGTAACCATTAACTCCACCATTAGGAGAAGGGTTGGATGCGGGAGAGGAAGTGGAGGAAGGTGTGCCTAGCCCATTGGGTTTGGACCCAAAGTTGAACCCTGAGGAACCATTTGTAGCCGGCTGTCCTGTAACGGTTGGCACCAGGTTGATGTTATCCAGCAACTCATCCATCAGGTCGTCTGTGAGTCCATCATTCAGGTTCATTGTACCTGCAAGGTCTGCCAGGCGGGGCAGCTCAGTCGGCACAGACTTCCCATTGGTCGTGGCATTGCCAGGAGACAGTGCTCTGCCAGGGCTGGAGTACAGCATCGGCGAGAGAGGAGGCTCGTCATCTGGCACCTCATCTAGCTCAGGGTTGGCCAGAATGGGTGAGAGGCGACCGCTCAGTGTGCTGGCGTTGGAATTTGTGCGTGAGCGGAAGTCTGTCCAGGCGTCTAGGTCTTCACTGCTGCGTGACGTTGGGCTTCCAGGCCACTTGGAGAGACCTGAAGGACTATCTCCACCCCCTTCACCGGCAGCAGCTGCTGCAGCTTGCAGGGCTGCCTTCTTCTTGGCAGCACGGCCACGGGCGGACTTGGTGTACTTGTTGCTGTTGTCCATGGAGACAGCACGGCGGCGAGGGGCCTTTCCACCCTTCCCACCCTCTGGGTTGATCATCCACCAGGAACTCTTCCCTGTTCCCTCGTTCTGAACGCGGATGAAACGGCTGTGGAGGGAAAGGTTGTGCCGGATGGAGTTCTGTAACACAAAGGAGAAAAAGAGACTATGTTGAGTGATGTGTGTAAAATCACCCAAACAATGACTGTCATCAATATTGATTTGTTGCATTCTTTCTCTCCCTTTACCAATACAACTTTCAATGAATACCTCTCATTAAGTCCAACAACACTGATCCATAAACCACCCACAACTACTGAGTCTGCAGCGATGTACACAGTTGCTCTTGGTGACTAGACACACAAACAAAGCCAAAATCTTGTTGTCTCAATTGTTCAGAAAATATAGACAAAAAGACATTAACGTGCAGCAGCAGCACTTAGTACTGATGTCTGTATTGTTCCCACTGTAGCTTTTGTGTCATGGGTATAAAAGAGAAAAGAGAGACAGTGGTCTATAATCAAGCGTCTCCTCGATTATGAATGACATATACAAAGAGCCCCTGTGTTGCTTGAGGAGCGCATTCTGTGTCAGATCGTGTGTGTTGGTGCATGCCTGTGTGTGAGTCTTGGCTGGTGCGTATTGATCAACTCCTTCCTTGTGCGAGCCCCAGAGTCTAATTGTGAGGGAATTGGTGCACATGACAGCCCCTGGTAATGATCAAGAGTTTTATTCACAACACAGAGATGCATGTATACATTAAAAGCCCAAACGGCTGCAAGCCTGTTGAATCACATGTTGCCTCACTGCTTGCTTTGTTTACTTCTATCTACACTCAGACAGGCATTCTTTCTTTTATACACTGATGCCGTAGCAGTTGTACACACGTTTGTAGTTGCTAGTGGCATGACTCTAGAGATGGCAATGTCTATTCGTGGGTCTACCACTTTGGTCCAAACTGAGACAACATCTACTGGATGGATTTCCCTGAAATTTTGTAACGAGATTTATTGTTCCCAGAGGATGAACCTACTGACTTAGAGTTTTGCTCTAGCTCCATCAGCCACCATTCAAATTGTCTAGTACTTTGGTTTATGACTAAATGCTTCCAAAAGATTGATGTCTCCATGTTGGGTTATATTTAAACCACAAGAAGAAAGACAAAGACCAGAAAAACATTTTGTTTTCATAAAACCCCAGCACCATTTAAACAAGAGTAGCTTTTAAACGTTTATAAAACTGCATTTTAAGGAAAGTTCCATTCTGAATAATTAGTATATATGGTTAAGACCTTTTTGACTTGACTTTAATCCTTTTACTCATCTTTTTGTGCCCCACAACCTACCAAAGGTCTTGTTGAATTCATTATTTTGCTTTAGTCTCCTTCTCTTTCCATACCCTCTTCCTCTTCTGCAGGTTCTGTTGTTTCACAAACACACAGCTCTTATGGGCCCTGAGGGACTCTGGGGCTATGCTATATCCTCCCATATAAACAACCCAACCGCCATCCACAACATGCACGCATTTTTCCCTCTCTGTTTTCCTCCCATGTATATTTTTACTCCCTAAAACAGAACAGATTTCTCTGTTCCAAACTACGAGGGCCAACATTTTCGAGTTTTGTGGGAATCACAATATTGTTTTCCATGAAGAAGTCCCGTCTGTCCTGGGCAACAGTTTACATACAATTTGGTCTGGATTGTTTTTCTGGTCAAAGGCGGTTCAATCAGAGAGGAGAAAAAGCAAGCTTAAGTTACGAATTCTGAATGCTACATTGGCAGAGTAAGAAAGTTTGATGTCTGGGGGCCAAACTGAACCTATGACCCTCTGTGAGTGAGTGAGTGTGTATTTGAGCATGTAGGTGTTTTCAGAAGTTATACGGAAATGCCCAGTTTTGCATTTGCAGGCTTTTGAGGGTTTTGCAATTGTAAATGTTTCTGCAACACTGTGTGCTTTTTGTGACCGCTGCTGTGCATTAGCAAATCCATAAAAAGATGCATTTAATCATGAATGATGTGTGTATGTGAATGCACGTTCCTAAGTGTGTGTGTGTGTGTGTGTGTGTTCTGTGAAATGAGGTAAGATGAGAAGAGATACCAGTGAGACCAGTGTTTATCCTCTGCCAGCATCTCTTGAGGCATGACGTAATGCTGCTTTATTACAGAACATTTTACAAACACACACACACACACATACACACACACACAGACACACGCAATACACAAACACACACACACTAGCTGAATGTTTCCAGCTGCCAGGGAGATGTAAATAATGGCAGGAGATGGACTTTGTAAAGGAAAAAGAGAACTTTTGGAGGGATGAATGAGAGCAGAATGAATGGAATATCCCGCTGCTGTAAACATTTACCTGCCAGCAGCTGACACTTCATCAATCCTTCTTCCTCACTTCATCCTACACAACCTTTATCCCCGCACCTCCACACTCCCTCCTCCAAACGAAGCCACTTGTTTAATGTTTCTCTTTTCCGTGCCACTGCTCGTATCCTTCAAATGTCAGGTGAGATATTTCTAACTCGGTGTGATGGAGCAGCAATAAAGTGAAACGGGACATCTGCAACCGAAGCACGGACAGTGATAAAAAGGAGAAAAAATAAAAAATTGGGTGCCGAGTAAAAATGTGTGAGTGATGGTAAGAAAAAGGGTGAGAAGATGATGACTGCAGGATGAAAGAAAGAATAAATGAGCCTGCTATGTATCAGTATTACTTGTGATGTATGTGTGTAGTACATCGTAGTAGTAGATCCTCCTACACTCTGTCCTGCTTATACATGTTAGTCTGGATAATTCATAGATTTATTATATTAGAAATATATTTATATACTTCATTCACCTCCATTTTGTTGGGATTGAGCAGAAGCCTCAGTTACAAAGATCTTGGCAGATGAAACTAGAACTATCTGCTGATACACTTGTGGTTCTGTGAGTGGAAAAAATGTTTTTTTTATTATTTCAGTGGACTGACCTTTTAACCATTTATGTCTGGATATTTTCTTTGCTTCACATTTCATGTAGACATTCAGTCTCTCCTGCACACCACAACATCTTATTTCTGGCTACCATGAGTCTTACTGTATTTTTCATATAATTTAACTTCCAAGGAGTTTATTAAACTACTCTTAAATTACACCTGAGTTTGGTACAGCATTTCACTAAACCTGACAGAATTCTTGGGGCAAACAAGCCTCAGATGTGGAAAAAGAGTCTCTAAAGGCTCTCTGTGTACAAAGCATTAAGAAAATCTTCATAATACACAGAGGGAGTTCCTTCTTTCGTGCAATGGAAATCCCAAGTCCTGTATTTTAAATTCAACATCCATCATTAACCCGTCTCCTCCTCCTTCATAACTGAAATAGATGTAATAGCTGAAATCAATACGGCATTACAGCTCTTTCTTGGAATCATTTGCTTTATTTCATTTATTGTTGTGCTTTTATATTAAAATGTCGCCCTTTAAGGCAGCAAGTGTGATTGAATAAGCATGAGTATTTTATGGTTTGTTATTTGCAGCACTCCATGGGTTTGTGTGTGTACATGGCACATCGCTGTGTGAGTGGGATACTGTATGCTTACTACCGTACAGCTCCTCTAGGGTATTCCCAAAGTCCATTAATAAAAACAGCTCACTGAGACAGCAGCTCTGATTCATAACTCCTACTATGCAGCCACAAGAGCTAAATAACACACATACACTAACACAGCTTGCAGCAACAACCTTCTAAGCGATAATGATGCTCTTGACACTACCCGGATAATTTTAGGGATTTTTTGGGATTTCTCTCTCGACATAATTATTCCCTCCATTTTTCTGTTTTGTACCCTTCTCATTCTCTCTAATACTTCTTTGGCAAATGTCTTTACTTTGAAGGAATAGTTTGACATTGGGGAACCATTCTTTTAAAGATTGACAGCACATTCATATCTGTGTGTTAAATATGAAGCTACAGCCAGCAGCCGGTTAGCTTAGCTGTAAATCATATTTGGTGTACAGACATGAGAGTGGTATCGATCTTCTCATCGAGCTTTGGGCAAGAAAGTAAATATTTCCAAAAATATTGAACTATTCCTTTAGATCACCATGAAAACCTGCTTTGGGCTGGATATCCCACTGTAGATATATGAAAGTATTTATAACTAATATCTGGTAGCTATTAGAGTGTAGTTTTTAATTATGTATATATTATTATATATTATATATTCTAACTTGTCTTTATTGTAAAACATTTATTCCTTATGACAGAAGAATACAAATTACCCACTTTTAGAGCAGACTACTGGGCTAGTAGCAGGGGTTGTCAATTTATTTTATAATTGAATCTTACCATTATCTATGATTGGTCTGACATTATAAACTCCACCTTAGCCGATCTTGAAAGCTGCTCTACAAAAACGCTAGATCAACGGAGTCAACTGTCCCAGAGGTCGATTATCCACGTTCAACAGTGTTACATTTTTGAAGCAAACTAACTCAAAGATAGCCTGACGAAGCTGAACTTGCTTCGTGAGACAGGCCCCAGCTGTGTGTGTGCGTGCACCAGCTGCAGCCAGAGCTCAGGAACACAGAGGCCTTTTTGTCCGTCAGCAACATGTGGGAACAATTAATCACTGTCAGCAACCACGCTAGGAATCTCTCTTTCTCTCTCTCTTTCTCTCTCTCTCCTTTCTCTCATTATTCTGATTTTTTAAGGTGTGTAGGTGGGGACTCATACATTTGCATTTATGTAAATCTGAATGTAGAAGGTGTGTGCTACATTGCATTTTTTAGTTGATTTTCAGTCTACTGTGTGGGAATTAGATCAATTTATTACATAGATGCTTGTTTTAAATGTGTATAAATGAATACCTCAGACCAGTGAGTTACCCAGAAAGCAGGTTCCTCTGATTGGTGCAGATGATTCTAAGAGTGCTTTCTAATTGGTTGTAGCCTCAGCAGTGGTGATTGGTGGAGTGAAATTGGCTTGCGTAGCCAGGCAGTACAGAAAAGGGAGGGTCTGCATGGTATTGCAAGTGTATTTCATCACCCAGCTACAGCACATATCTGAACTCAAATGTATGAACTGGGTCAGTTCCACTTTGCTGAGTTCCTGTACTCTGTGTGAGTCTGAGAGAAACATTCTAATG